ACACACACACACACACACACACACACACACACACACACACACACACACACACACACACACACACCAAAATATGGGGAACCAGAAAAGAAAGTCCTCAAAATGTTTATGTCTGAACCTCAGACTCACTCTCTACTAGTTCCTGTAATGTAGCCCAACCTGGTGTCTAGCTGCACACTTAGAAGTTCCTGAAGTAAGTAGAGGGGGAATTTCTTTAGGAAATGACTGGCCCAGACTTAAGCAATGGAGCAAATGCAAAACCAAGTGTTAATGCTATTTCAACATCTCAGGATCCCAAAAAGCTAGCAATAAGGACCCAAAATAGCAAGCATGATTGGCCTAATGTGTCTAGGCTGATAAGACGAGTGGACTGTGACAGGTTATCCGCTAGACAAAACAAAAAAGGATGGGTTTACTCAAGAAGACAGAGGTGACTTGCTGTCCCAACATATCCAGAAACCAACAGGGTGACAGAACAAAACAGATGAGGACATTTCCTGACACAAGGATGAATAAATAAAGAGGATACAGGACATGTGATATTACACAACTACGTGACTAACAGGCATCTTATGATGTAAGAAATGCCTTGTCGGGGGTAAAATTATTATTTAAACTCACAAATCACAACTCGTGATATTTAGTCTACCAATACAAGTCACTAAGGGGTTACCATGGGTGGAACACACACACGTCAATTTTGATTATGGATGCCAGAAATGCACATACAAATCAAGGCCAAAGACTACATTTTTGTCCATGGCTCCAGACGTATTGTTAAGTATTGGAATCACAGCCGAAAGGCCTAGTAAGCATCAGCGAGATTACAGCAGCCATGCTCACCAGTAGTCCTATTATTATCACGGCCAGGTAAATGGGCATTATTATAGGATCAGCATCCAGCTGAGTCTCATCATTGACTGGGTGATACCGACGCTGCGAAGAGGCGCATGGTCGAGCTGTCACATACGATGACCTAACGGCCCATCCAAACAGCCTCACTCACTGCATCCTCAAAGATCGGCCAATAAATTTACAAGAAAACCAACCCGTTTCGTTTCGACTTACCGATGCCGGGAGCGGAGTAGATGAAATATAGCGCCGAGGTGGACAGTGAAAAAAGGAATAAAAGCCCAAGGAATGACCTTCTCCGGAAACGCAAATGTGTCGGCATCATACAGGCAGCGAAAGCAGCACAGACACACAGGCACGTTTTTCGCTTATCTTCACCGACGACAGACGAGCCCCGATGTGTCCAGATGCCTGAGCCTGCAGTCCGCGGACGGCCTGGGTTCAGTGAGTCGAAATGGAGTGGTAGGGCTGCGGCAGTGGTGGTGGTGGTACAGGCGACTGGGAAGTCGGTCTATTTCCGCGGCAGGTCGAAAAACAGGATGAGACCGCCAGTCTTCAGTCCAGACATACGAAATCCATTTCTGCCGAGATGATTTCGGTTTTTATTCGGGGTACGGTCCGATGTGGAAGCGGCTGACAAAGACCAGCGCGGTGTGAAGTGGCCTGTTCTCAGCGTGAGACCATCTTTTAGGTTCCACACTACGTCGCTGGTGCCGTTCCTGCCGCGCTTGCACTTTGCCTGCCTGCCCAACCCTATGAATGGAGCCGTCTCTCCGCAGAGAAGAAGAAGAAGAAGAAGAAAAAAAAAGAGCAGTACCTCAAGTGGGCGTTAACGGTGGCTCCTACTCAACAAACACGCACGCACGTACGTGCCCGGCGTAGACTACGTAACCTGGCAACCGTCGTCCCTACGTTGTCATAACCTTATGTATAATCACAAACTAGCCATTTGGCACGTGAGAAGCGTCCAGCGTCGGATTAGTCCAGGGATTAGTCGCAGAACTCTTAACGTTTGTTAAGATACTAATATCAATCATTTTACTATTAAAAATGGCCCCAACAAACCCACCTAAAAAAATAATGATTCGTTTAGATACTTCTGTTAAAAACTTTAGCATTACTTCATCTATGATTTTTGTCCACTCCACACAGTTCATTTTTGGTAAGCCGTTAAAATCACTCCCACAATAATAATAAAGACCCAGCTTGGAGTATATATATA